TGGTAGAAATATAAAAATTGCTAAAAAAAAATTTTTGCGGGCGGCCTTCGGCCGGGATTTTGAATTGACTTAATTATCCTCCTATTATTTTTTATAATTAGTTTATATAAATTCAAAGTAGGTAACTATTTTTCAAAATACAATAACATCTTGATTTATTAAAATATATTAATTTATAAAAAAAAACCAACGATCTTTTTTAAATATAAAAAAACGATTTTTATTTACAATTAAAAATATATTTTATGCGAATGTCCCTCAAAACGACAGTAATTTTAAATCTACCGTGTGTGTGTACAGATAGGCGCTTAATTATCAAGTATCACGTTTAAATACATAATAAGGTACTCCAAAATAAAATATAATACAGATGCAACTACAGTTGCGGCAATTGTACTTATCTTGTAGTACAACATTCACAGAGATACTTATCATCACAATGTTGGTAGAATCTTTTTTCCATAATAACGACTCTAATATAAATGAAAATTATACTTATAGAACAAAAATGAGCAAGACTATCATTAATGTTTTAAGACCTAAATCCAGGAGGTCAATTATTGACGATTTGAAAGATGGGCATATATATGCAATTCTAACAGATGCATCTATTAAGGGAAATATTTCCTTTGATCTTCCGCTATTTTAACAAAATTAAGGTCGTTTCAATAAAACTATTAAATTTTTTCCCCTCGAATAGTGAAAAATCCAAAGACATAGCTAACCATATAATGGTAAATATATCAGATTCGAGATGATCAATAAATTGCATGTCAGCTTTCTGATCTGATAATGCCTCAGTGAATTTGGTAAAATCAGAATGTATTTACAGAAGTGAGTCAGCACAATGTTGGTTGCGATATGTTCCTATAACCCGCCATCGATAGAATTTGAAAATTTTATAAACCTTTAAAAAATATTTCTTAAATAGTCCTAACATTTTGAAAATTTTTTTTCAATAATGAATGGCAGAGGTATATTTTAGAATGATTTCACATGTAGAATGTGCAGTTGCAATCAGAAGAATCTTAACAAAGATTCACAAAATTATGCTGCAGATGTGTCCATCTTTACAGTTAAATATTGACTATAAATTTTATGGCGCCATTGCTAAATTTAATTATATTTTATTTGAGATTTAAATAATAGAACTAAAAGTTTACTGTCGTTATTGAGATTATAAAATTCCTGGCATGACATATTATACATTATTTAACCATTAGCTCGTTCTCTAATGTTGTTAAATCCGATTTCTCTCCTATTTCCAGGCAGTCCTCTTCAGGCTAAAAATGCGCTCGGATGAGGCATTAGAATAAGGTAAGGAGAAGTTTTGGCGAATCATAAAAATAGATAGAATTACAATCTCTTCAAACAAGACATCAATGACTTTCGGTATTTTTAATATATTTATTAAATTATAAAAACCATCAATTGATGGTTTCTGTTCCAAAGTCATAATATTTATACAATTGTAAATAGATTTATTAAAATCAAATTTTGATTGTAAATATTCTAAAATTGTCTTAATAAAAATATCTGCTTCATTTAAAAATGTATTAATTAGAGTATTATTTGAACATTTTAATATAATATTTTTAGCAATAGCGTCATAAAATTTATTATCAATTTTTAACTATAGAGATGAACACAGCTGTAGAATGATTTTGTGAATCATTTTTAATAAAGAATATTCTGATTGCAACTGAATATTAACTGCATGCAGTAGATTTCCTAAATGTGAAACGAATCCCAAATATGCTTCTGACATTTCATACTCGAAAAATTTTTTCAAAATTTTAGGACAGCCTTTAAAATCTTTATTTAAGAAGTATTTTATTTAAGGGTTTGTAAAATTTTAAAATTCTATCGAAGGCAGGTATTAATGACAATCACCTGATAGATATATATCGCAACAACTCACACCATCCCAAGTCAGACCACTTCACCACCTCTTTTAATTCATTAATTCTTTTAGTTGAACTAAATTCGTTAAAACATTTCATCACAATTATTTCGAAATCCACAGATAGTACATTCATTGCCTTCTTGCAAGAATTATGTAGTATATATGGCATATACAGCCAATTGGTATTAATTCATTTATGCTGCCTCAATTCGGTAACTTTCGCTTTTGCCAAAATTTACAAAGGCATTATCAGCGCAGAAAGCTGGCATGCAAATCATTGATAACCCTGAATCAGCTATATTTACCATTATGTGGCTAGCTACATCGTTGGATTTATCTGAGTAAATTTTTTAAACAGTTTTAATGAAATGTTCTTATTCTTGTTGAAATTGCGAAGGATCGAGGGAAATGTTTTAATATTTCCCTTATTAGATGCATTTGTTAGAATTGCATATGGATGCCCATCTTTCAAATCGTCTAGAATTGACCTCTAGGATTCAGGTACCAAAACACTTGTGTTAGCCTTGCTCATTTTATTGCCACAAGTAAGATTTGCACTTATATTGGGATTCGTTAAATATCATGAGAAAAAGAATCGACCCACATTGTAATGATATATATATAGAGCTCTGTGAATGTTGAACTACATAATGGATGTATACGATTTCCGCAAATATAGTTTCATTTTTAGAATATTTTTGTATTGCAATGGATGTTGATATACTCCCCTGTACTGACTAATATGAATGAAATAATGTTGATTTATTATTGAATAAAAATAAAACAGGATAGAAAGAAATTTACAAACTAGACATGTTTTTCGAATAAATATTTAAAATTTATTTAAAAAATATAAAAATACAATTAATGTCTCAAAATTATTATTTACATATTAAAAACGTTAAAATACTTTTTTTTAAAAATTGTGGGAGAAATTAAAAAATTGCGGTAATTTTGCTGGAGAGAGATATCTGCGTGTAAACTAAAAAATTACGGGAGTCTCCCGCTGATGGGGGGAGATATGGCAACCCTGCCCAGAATGGATGTAATAAATTAGATAACTTTTCTTCTCTTTTTTACGTGCTTTTAGGGAAAGCTATTTTTTCTTATTTGAAAAAATTTGAGTTAAATTTTTAATACTAGTATATTTTTGATATTATTACAAACTACTACTACTTTAAGATATAATATACCAACTAGAGGTGGTGCTACAATAATATATAAAATTTTAATTAATTTCTTTTATCATATATATCACTCTGGTTCTTATTTAATAGTTACAAAATGTTTCATTTCTAATATGGCATCCCTGTCTTGTAAATAACTTAAGGCATCAATACATTAGCATAATTTCTTCTAAAGATCTTTAGTGTTTTTGTTTTATCAATTTATCTAGCATAATAAATTCTGATATAAGTTAATATAGAGAGTGTCATGGCTATGATTGCAAATTAACCAGCATCTATTATTTGTGTGGCTATGTAATTTAAGATTATTATTACAGCTGCTGTGAGGATATGATTGCATATTTTATAAGCAATAATGGTCAACTGTGGAGTTATTTTATATCATTAAAAATGGAAGATAATATTTTAGAAATTTAATATCTCGCAATTTTTATCTCAATTACTAATCTAGCTTCCATTATGTCATTTTAGAGGAAGCTCTAAGCACCATATAGTTTTATGATTTGGATTGGTCGTTTATATTCTCTTCTCCAAGAATTGTTGATTTGGTCAGGCCTATAAATTTTTCCTTATTAGTCCATTCTATATAACTTTGTCTAAAAATGGTAACAGAGTGTTATATTAGTTTCTTGACCTTTTGTCAATGTAAGTTGCTAATTTTATAATATGTAGTTTTTAAAAACCATTATCAATTGAGGCATATGTATGAATTAATTAACCTTTTTTTATCACTTGTAATTCTTTAGACGCAAAAAATTTTTATATCAGCAATCAAAAATATTTTATACTGTAATAAATAGATTTTGTATTAAAGATTAATATTTTTAGAAATGTCTTATATTGTTTTAATTATTTATATACTAATTTATTTTGTATGCATAATATAATAAATGACAAAATATGAAATTCAGAATAATTATTCAGAGTTAGGAAATTATTAAAAAGTATATATATTAATATAAAATCCGGCCGAAGATCGGGCAAAAGCGGGACGAAGGCCCGCAAATGGAGGGCATGGGCGGCGAAATCCCCCATAAAAATTTTTTAGTTGAGTTCCCTGAGATTGTAAAGGCTAGCGACGCCCCTGCCTAAAACAATCATTATATTATAGGTATGAATTATAATTTAGCCAAACTTTGTTAATATTATTACTTGAAAAAACTATTGCCATCGCTCATAATCTGTTAGGATTTATAAGTCTTGAGAATTTAACACTTAGTAATGCTTACAAGCCTAATAATTTGGAATATTTTTCCCATTTTGCAGTTGTTAGCTCAAAAATTAATGTGTACGAAGCCTCCTTGAAACAATCAATTATTTTCCATTATGGCATATTTTGACCCTTCCATAGAAATAGATCTTAACCCTACAAATAATAATAATCAAATTTTCTAAAAATATCATACGATATTAGTTATAAATACACAATACAGTAATACACCTACCTAGTTTTGACAATTGTGGTCTTCCCTCCCCAATAGAGCTGTCTTTTGGAAACAAAGTCCTTTTACCGTTTTGGTGTATTTGTTTCTCTTTGATTTCTAAATAGTTTTATTTTTAATATGCCCATAAAACTCAGTATAAAAGTTTAATTTAAAATTATCTGAACAAACAACAAGACAAAATTGTTCATTTATACCTTTATGCATTAACTCTAAATAAGAAGAAATAATTAAGGCCTATATCTAAATTGGTATTAAAGTATCTAAATTATTTCCCGTCTTTTTATCCCAGTTTGATGAGCTTTCTGAAAGAACCAAGGGTGGCTCTCTTGTATATGTGTATAACTGTTATATAGAATATCAAATAATTTGTTTTGCGGATTGTTTAATAATTTCGCGCCAATTATTTAAAATGCTAGAGATCGAAGAATCTGATAATTATGATATTTTTGAGGGAGAAGATACAAATGATATTCCAAATAATATTAAAAATGGTATCTAATTTTCTATTTATATTTAAAAAAATTTAAAAAGAAAAAAGTAACCTGATACAGTTAACATTGGATGAGACTGATTATAGTAAAGTTAAACGGGTACAGAAAAATAGGCCAAAATTTAATACTAATTTGTAAAAGATTATTAATTTTTATAGTTATATAATTTTATAGACTATTAGGTGAAAAGGGGTTGTCTGCACTATCAAATATTTTCCAAAATATTAAACTTAAGGGATATAAAAATGAAGTTTGTTATAATTATTTAAAATTTAATGCATCTAATGTTGTAGAAAACAGATTTAAATACAATTTTAGATATGTATGAACACTGGGCTTTAAGACTATTTCCTAAATATTCATTTGAAGATGTAATTGATAAAATTGAAAATTTAGGTCACAAAAATGTAGTCAAAGTATAAAATGTAATCATTTAATTTTATGTTAACAAACAATAGACCACACTTCATAATATGCATCAATTATTTAAAGATGAACTTAATTCACAAAGAATGTCAAATAATGAAAATGATCACAATTTTAACATTGAATTTAATGAAGATATAAATTTAATAAGTAACCTTGATAATAGCTTGATAAAATCCACCATAACACAAAAAGTATGTCAAATATACTCAAAATCTCATATTTTTATCAAATAAAAAAAGACTGATCATGATGAAATGGGGTATTATGAAGAAATCAACAGTGAAAATACACACATAAATGACAATGAAGAAGATTTAAATGAAAATATTCAAACATTAGAACCAGTTTTATCTTTATCATGTGATTTGAAGAAAAGAATTGAAAAAAATAGATTGTTAGCTCTTGAAAAGAGAAAATATGCAAATAATTGCTAAATTATTACTTGTTTATATAAATAATTTGAAAATACCTATTTAAATGAACATGTTTAAAATAATTAATTTCATTTTCAATATATAAATAATAATTAAACCAAAGCCTAGAACTAGGCCATTTAAAAAACATAGAATATTTATTTTCAAATAATAATTTTTATAAATAGTAAAAGAGAAAGACAATTATTATATAAAAATAAAAGTTTTAAACTATTTTTATTGCTCATTCGTATATAGAGTAATTGCATATCAAATTGAACCATAATAATTATTAGCAAAAGGAGTATGCTGGAGGAAAATATTTTTTGGGTAAATTTATTCAAAACTTTCTTTTATTTGGCCTGAGCTTAGCATAATTTAATTTTAGACTTGAACATGTCCTTAAATTTTAATTAAAAAAATATAAATTAAATACATATTTATGAAATTAAATGAAAATCTAATTTGTAATTTCAAATGTCATTTTTTATTTTGATAAAATATTTTTATTATATATACTATATACATGAGCCATAGCTGCCTATTAAAAAAAAGTATTTTTAAGCTATTGACAATAAATAAAAATTTTAAACAATATTTCAACTGTGTAATTTACAGGATTGCAAAATATATCTATGAATGACTTGGATTTATCTAAAAATTGGTCATTCTACTTATAAGTATTAATTTCACTGAGTTATAAAAATAGTTCCATCATGTTATAACTGGTTTAATCATATATCTTCTCATTTTTCCTTATTAATTTACAGTTTCGAGACTGGTCATGTTTATACTACATTTGAGGAAATATTAACTATATATTTATATTTTTCTTAAAGAATTGCATTAATGTGGCTTAAAACTTGAAATTATTTAAAGCAATTTTACGTTTTAATATTATAATAGTTATCGTGAGATATTCCAAATTTTCTAAAATCGAATGAGCCATAGCTACAGGTTCCATAACATAAAATCATATACATTAATATTAATTAATCTGCATTGGGCTTAATTTTTCAAGTCTGGTCGCAAATTTTTTTTAAAATATTTCTCCAGCCCAGCCCGATCTTGAACAAAAATTTTTTTTGTCGTGAAAAGCCCAAACCAAAATAAAAATTATTTGTCCGCCCAGCTTGGCCATATTTTTTTTTAATATAAAAAATTTAATAACTTTTTTGATTGTAAAAAAATTATTGTACAAAGAAAAAATATTTGCGCCTTGTTTCTTGCAAGAATTTTATGTCATTTTATTTTAAATGTAATATCATTTTTAAAATTTTAAGCCTGACACCTCGAAATCAATTTTTCAAAATAAACCCATGATTTACAGATATATAATATACATATATAATTTTTTAAATAACACAAATCATAAAATATATCTAAAGATTTGTCAAATTGGTCAATCTACTTATAAGAATATTAATTTCACTGAGTTATAAAAATAGTTCCATCATGTTATAACCAGGGATGTGAACCCTTCGACAAAAAAAAAGGGTCCGGGTCTGGTAATAAATTTAAAAAGGACCCGGGTCCAGGGTTCAGAGGAAACATAAAAATAATGACTCAAAATAAGACTTTTTTTTATTCATTTTTTATTATACTTCAATATATACACATTTATAATTCGAAATGAGATAATTTATATTTTAAATATTTTATTCAATCGCACAATCATGATATCTTCTAAAATATCATTCTTCAGATTTCCACGTAAATTAGTCAACGATGAAAATCCACGTTCTACGCTTACCTAAAATAGATAGTCATTTTTATAATACATAAATTATTGTACTTGTGTCGCCGGTACAGCCATGACGAATCTAGAAAAGTTATATAATTCTGGATATATGAAGAATTTTCCTCCCAGAATTTTAAAATGTTTGCATCTCTATTTATTCTCATAACTTCCGAGAACTTTTCTATTAAAGATACAATAGATATTTTTTGCTCCTTTCTATCAGATAATTTAATTTTTTTTTCTCTATCTAATAGTAAAATTTCCAGATCATTATTATCGCTACAACCAGTAGATATTGTTGTAACCACCAATGTATTGTAAATAATAGAGTTTTGGGTATGGCATAAATCTTCAAGATGGTCTATAGCCATTTGTTTTTGCTCACTACTTTAAAACCTGATATCGCGGGTCTAAATATATCGAAGCATATACAACACTATTTTGTAAATATTGTTGCTCTCTTATTTTCTAATACTTCATTTGAAAAAGAACTTGTTAATCTCCCTAACTCTAATCGACATCTTAACCATATGCCATAAAAATCCGATAAACATAATTGTTCAGCTTGCACTCTTAATGTTGTTATTTTTAAAGGAACCAGCACACTAGTAAGCTCTTTTACTTGATTCCAATCATCTTCTGACAAAATGATTTCACATGCTCCTGATAAAATAATTACAGAAATCTTTCAAACTTAATAATCGCTCTAGCATCATACACATAGAGGACCAACGTGTTGTGCAATCTAAAATTGCCATTTACCTTTTCATGGATTTTAATATTCTAACAATTGTGGGAGTTCTTAAATATTTTACAACATCCCTTGCTTTATCAATTATAGTTTTAAAGTGACAATTTTTTATGGAGATTCCACGAAAAAAATTATAAAAATTTTATATTATTTTTTAAAATTATAAAAATTTTATATTATTTTTTTAAAAATTAATAAAATTATAAAAATTTTATATTATTTTTTAAAAATTATAAAAATTTTATATTATTTTTTAAAAATTATAAAAATTTTATATTATTTTTTTAAAAATTAATAAAATTTTATATTGTTTTTTAAGAATTATATTTTTACATTAATTTAAAAAAAAAAATTTTTAAAACACCCTGAACCCTTAGACCCTCCACTTTTTAAAAGGGTCCGGGTTCAGGGTCTGGGTTCACATCCCTGGTTATAACCGGTTTAATCATATATCTTCCCATTTTTTCTTATAAATTTTTTACAGTTTCTAGACTGGTCATGTTTATTCTACATTTAAGGAAATATTTACTATATTTATAATATTTTTCTTAAAGAATTGCATTAATGTGGCTTAAAAAATGAAATTATTTAAGGCCATTTTTTAAATATTATAATAGTTATTGTGGGAATGAGATTTCCCAAATGCCTTTTTTCTTCCCTTTAAAATGGAAAGAGGTAGGAACAGGTTCCATAGCCTATAAAATAATATATATACCCATACAATATTCATCAATGAACGACTTAACATATCTGGAAATCTCTGTAATTTGGATTTATCACAAGATTCGTCAAATTTATGGCCATTCTCCTTGAGAACTATACCAATTTCACGGAGTTATGGAGTTCCATCTTGTTATAAACGATTCAATCATATATTTTTCCTTATAAATGGCTGCACAGTACCGAGACTGCCCATGTTTTTTCTACATTTGGGGAAATATTTAAGTTGGGACATAATTTTAGTGTAGACTTTGTACCCTTAATTTTTTTTATTGGTGTAAAAAATGTTCTATATTAGGGCCAAGGCAGGTTAAATCATCTTCATCTGAAGAAATATGTATAATTGTCATAATATTATCTATATAATAAATTATAATATTAAAGAATAAGAATATAAATTAACATATCGTGATTGATTCAATATTAATTAGAATTAACAATCTTGATTGAAAATATATCAATAAAAATTTTAAATAGAAATGAAAGAAATTGGTGGTTGATCTGACTTAAAAACTCGGCTTAAATTATTTATAAAATTTAAAAAATAATTTTATAATGCAATAGGTTTTTTCCATATTTTATAGGAAAAAAATAAACGCGTTACTGCGATCCTTTTCTTCAAATAAGGTTACGCCGTTAGTACGCTACTTTACAGCACTAGCCTATATTTATGAGAATATGCATATTTGCGATGGGTGAATCCCCCATTGTTCTTCATCTACTACAAAATCCCGATATTTTATTATCTAAAATTAATATAAAACAAGATAAGCAACTTATTTATTATCTAAAATGAATATAAAACAAGATAAGCAATTCATATGCATATTAAAAAATTAAAATTTATAATAAAATATTATTTTCTACACTACAAAATTTACAATATTACACTTTCTAAAATTGATATAAATTAAAAAATATAATGGGAACCAGGAAATTTTAAGAAATGGGTAGAGAAAAAATGATTCCACGAAAAAATTTTTTATTTATTTTTCATGAATTTAAAAAAGAGAAGAGAAAAATTTTTTTTGACATCTAGAAACCTCCACTTTTAAAAAGGGCCTGGGTTCAGTCAAATAACCAGGGTACGGGTTTATATCTGAATTAAGCTTGTTTAAAGTGATGAATAATCTTGGAAATATGGAATTTTAAAAATATAAAATATCAATATATATATTAGAGTAGTGGTATGCACATGCCAGTCTGTGAAATTTTTCATATAAGATCTTATATTGGAAAAGAACAGATTAGCTGAATTCTAGGCATTAAAATTTTTTATAAAATAGATGCTCAATCAGTAAAATTATTTTGCACAAGTTGTCTGGCTCCAAAAATTTTAGTTCTACCTGACTTCTAATATAGAATAATTTGATTATTATGATTCCAGAAATCTTATAATTTAAAAGAGTATCGTATTGGTCATAAACTTTTCCACTTTTAACATTTTAAAAATTCTGGTTATGATAAGACGTCATAATAGAATTTTAGTGAAATTTGAATTTTTTTTTAAAAAAAAAATAGAAACTGTAATGTAATAAATGATGGAATATTATAATTTTAAAAAATGATTTTAAAATTTATTCTTTTTATTCATTCAATTCCAAAGTAAATAATATATTAACTGTTTATAAGATAAAAAAAATATATATGGCCATGATTTGTTGAAAGATTTTAAAATTTAAACTTATATATATTAATTTTTCAAAAATAAAAAGAATCAATATAAACAATGATAAATTAATATTTAAAATATAACGTGTGTATAAATTTATGCGAATAACAGTTCAGAAAAAAATAATAATATACAAATTAATAAAATTGTCCGAGCGATTTCAAATTTTATAAAATTGTCCGAGTGATTTCAAATTATATATTTATACTAGGTTTTATTCACATGCTTGAGTTCAGAAAATATTTTAAGCGTGCTCAAACCAAACTTAGGAGATGATGATCAATCGCCTGCCTCTTGTTAGAAATGGCATATATATAGCTTAAGAGTTCATTTAAAAATAAAATAATCAAGTCTCTGGTCCCCCTTATCACTTTTTTTGTAGACATATAAATACAAAAATTCGATCATTTTAAATATACATTTCATTTTCTTGTATAATTTTTTTTTATAAAACAAATAATATATTAAAGGGAAATAAAATTAGTATATTCTATTCTTTAATTTAGGCAAAATAATAGATCTTAAAAATCTAAAGATTCAATTTCTCATATTTTAACTAATTTAATTTTTTCCGCGAGTAATTCCGTTTTGCCATTTACGATTAGTTCCTCTATGGATTTGTATTGTTTAATCATAAGCGGGTTAATTTTTCCTTGAGATATTATATAAAGTTTAAAAAATATATATGAATACTTTATTTTTTTAAAAAATATTTTTCTGGTTTTTATCATTTAGGCATATTAAAATTATTTTCTATTTAGAACCTATCCTGAGTTGGGAAGTATTGCAAATACTTGTATCTAAGATACAAGATCCTTTTGTATCCGAAATATAGATTTTTTTGTATATAAGATACAAGACTCTTTTGTATTTAAAATACCAGAGTCGTATTTTATATACGATATTTTTCATCTAAGATACAAGATTCTTTTGTATATCAGATAAATCTTGCAAGCTGTATCTTTTTGATATATTTTAATAAGATACTAATATCTCTATCCTATATATTTCATCTTGTATCCTTTGAGTTTTCTTGACAAAGGATTATTTCAATTTTATAATTTTTTCTTGTATATTCTCATTTTAATTATGTTTCTTTCTTTCCTACCTTTATATTTTAAAATAATAATATTAATATTCATTATTATTCTGGCATATCAATTTTACTTTTCTATGCAATGAGATAATTGAATTTTATTCTTAAATATATTTATATAAATCATTGTATTTAAATAATCTAATTTATTTAAAAGGGTGGAATATTATCAATGTCCAATATTTTGGATTAACCAATGGCAGTATACTTGAAATAAATATAGTAATATTTAGGTAATTTCGATTTGTTAAAAAATTTTTATGTCTCATTTGGTTTTTAATTACACTTATATAAATGAGATCGTAAGAATATTTTCTTATAGTCGTAGAATTTTTGTTATTGTTCTGTTTTAGATAATTTAAAAAAATTTCTAAACAATTTTTTTTTAAAATGGGACAGTTCCACTGTGGTCGAATAAACCATAGAATTTGATGCTATTTATTTGGAATTTATATTTCAGCTCGTTAAAATATACAACATATATAAGTATTTAGTATATATGATATAAATCTTTTTATTTCTGTTGGTTGGTTTATGCTCTGCCCATTTCCACTATTATCATTGGGCCACGCATCATTTTTTAGAACAGTTGAACGAGATATTATGTTTTTTTAAGAAATAGGGATTATCTTGATCTCCTCGTCGACTTATGTGAGCAGTAGGAATAACTAGAAAAAATTCTAAAAAGCATATTGTATAGATACTTTTATTTAGAAGTATTTTTGTTGTATCTATACCTAAGATATATTTTTTATATAAAAACATCTGTTTCTATATTATTTTCTCAAGGGCCTGCCCAATTCTGAGTCCATCCATAAAAAAAGTATTTTGCTCAAATCAATCGAAGATATTTTTGGTGTAATCTGAGCACACTTAGACTATGACAAAAAAAACTTTAAAAAGGGAATTCGCCGTCACTACTACCAACTATACACTACCCATAATAGCCACAACTTTAACATCGCTAGGCTCTCATGGCCTCCGAGGATCCCAACGAAGATTAGTACCTGCATCAGAGGCTGGCTATAAACATAATAAAGACCAACTATCTCAGCTTTATACTATCAATGAACTAGACCAATGATCATGGAAAACTATTAGCATGATCTTTTTATTTAATATCGTTAAGGAGAGGTAGAAAATATATGTATATATGCAGCAGGTTATTTATTATTGTTTATATACAATTATTGTGTATATAAAACACATTTGTAATTTCCTAATTTTATTTAGTAAAAAAACATTAAAATGATTACTGAATAATACCTTTATCTTCACTAATCGTGTTTGTGATTGAGGGAATAAGTTCGGAATTTATCTTATCTATTAGATCCGTCATGAACCCTTGAGTTTGCTTATTTATAAAAAATGAAATGATAAATATTTTTAAAAAAATTAACATTTCAAATCGATATTAATTTAAATTAACGAGATGGTCACATAGATCCGATCCCATAAGTGCAAATTTAGCTTGTATAATTTAAATATCAGAAAAGGGAAAAAATCCTTTGACAAATACCTGATGGCTCCTTTTATTATTTAAAAACCTCTTTTAACTGAATTAAATTTACATTTTACGTATAAGAGAGTTAAATATTTTTATATAAAATCTGATAGTAGGGCAATTGAAAAAATTAGAATAATAACTAGTGAAAAATTTCTGCAAATCATATGCTAGCGTCAATGCTGTTTTTTAACATCAGTGTTATTTTTTAAACTTTAAATCACTTTTTGAAGTGCGTTTTTATAATTTTAAAAATTTAAGTTTACCGAAAATGTATTTCGGGATGCTTAGCATACTTACTCTATTAATTTCAGACAATTTTGCCATTTACTTATGAGTCATTTATAATTTATATAAAAAAAATATATGGAAAATAAATTATAAATTATATTAATTTCAAAAATTCATGGCAGTATTAAAAATCACAGAGTAGGTTTTTTATAATCATATTTTTAAATTTTTAATAACCCATTCAAAAAATGATTTAAAGTTGAAAAAATAACATATTAACTAAAATAATATAGTATATTATATTTCAATTACCCACTTATAAAATATGCATATTTCTAAAAGCAGAATATAAAATGTTTACCAATTCCGTACAACCCTCGTTATGCAAAATATAAGCGTTATTTAGGATCTCGGTGTAGAGTTGCAGTTTGACCTCGTTATTGAGGCATTGGTTTGTTATTTTAATAGTTTTATTTAAACAAGTCATAACCTTTTCACCATCCTGTACCTAATGATAAGAAGAAATAACTAGTAAATGTTAGTAGTTTAAAAATAAAACATGGAAATATTTAATCCATTAAGTTAGCAAACGATCCATCAATTTTTATTTATTTTTTAAAAAAGATCTTAATACGTTTTTTAGGGAAGATATATCCCAATTATCTAATTAGGGTCCTCTGTTTATGTTTATATATTTTCCTTAAATACTCTAATAAACGTGCTTATCAGTGGCGAGTGGAAGGGAACAGACCAGTCCAAAATAAATGATTTCCTGAACTTATGCGTAGAACTAATGCCCCCTCCCTTTAAATTTCGTCTTTCTCTCTATTTCTTTCCCAGCTCTTATTCCAATCTGCTTATTAAAATTTTAATATAAAATGATACAAATACAAACTTTTTTTTAAAAAAAATTTAAATATCTTTTAAAACTAAAACATTAGTTAAAAGTAAAATCTTATTATATAGAGTAAGATTAAACAATATATTATATTTAATAATAAAATTCGTTATGTAAGGTAACGGTATTAGAAGTTGCTTTATGTAAAAAAAACATATTACAGCACTAAATGAGCTTTGGGGAAAAAAATTTAAACCCTTTTAGGCACTAAATCACTCTCATTTGAAATTAGGGATGACCAAAATACGTGAGATATAAGACACAGTGCTCTAGCTTGATCCGGTTTTTTGAGTAACTTGGAAGCCGAAGAGAAACACTATCAGAATTTATTTTAAATATATTTTTTTTAGTAGTATATAGTTAATAAGAATTTCGTCATTTTCATACCTTATTAAAATATATAAAAAAATGTGTCCTCATTTCCAATGAATAGTTGTCAAAGATATTTAATATAAAATATTAAAATTTATAACAAGTATCCAACAAAAACAGCAAGCAGGCCTCTCCCTCGCTATCCATATAACAAAATACCTCTATATCAAAATATACTTTAACAATTTATATTATTCAATAATATATTTTGCAATAATATTCCTAACAGAATTCAACCTATCATATTTGGAGCTTGCTTGACAACTTCAAACAAAATGGGAACATCCAACCTATTGCAGTAGGGTCAGTATTCCAGGGAATAATTTCTAAAATAATTTGCTCTCACATAAAATCGTGACCTAAAAACTAACCAGTTTGAATTTAATATTAATTTTGCTTATCTCATTCGTCATCATTACCGAAATGTCAGCTTAAATCGTTTCAAATTATTTTTTTAAGCCAACGAGTTTATTTTAACCGAACGTATAATATACTAAATAGGAACCACTTCTGTTGATCGAACCGGTTTGCACCGGATTCAAAATAACAAATAATAATACCTGTCTTCTAAGAGATTCATGGTTTTCGGCACCGAAACAGGAAATTGAGGAAAATGTGGATGTTATAATGTTGAGACAGGTAAACAAAGTTTTACTATCCGCTATGTCATCTTCGTATATGGAGAAGGACTAAAAAAATGATAATTTTGCATTTTTAAAATTTAATAAATAATAGGGAATGTAATAAAAATAGTTAATGATTATAATCATCAATTTGAAACAGTTTGGAGGCAAAACGGGGGTACCTACGCTCGAAACAATTCGAAAATCCATACCCTAATGACTTATTTAAAATTTTGATGCATAGCTCCTGCGTTTAGTGTTTTGATTTAGGATCCCAAATATCTCATAATTATGCTCGCCACATGAGAGCTGAAAAAATTTAAAAACAACTGTTTCGTTTTGAATTTTAATCTTTTCAATGCGAATTTCTGGTTTTAAATAATTCAAAAATTAACAGATTTTGATTTATTTTTTAAATTCAAAATTATTTGTTTCGCATTCCTAAAATATACCCATTACCTGGCTCATGAATTCGTAAGCAACGCTTTCAAATTCCTCCATCCTAAAACTCTTAGCGAGATCTGGTTTGGCTTTAATATTGGCTACCAACGAATTTACAGCGAGCGACGCTTGTAGGTAGAGTTTCAGGGCTTGCTCATAAAGTTCTCTTTCACTCATAACGAAGATGGAGGAATGGACGAATTTGGTTATGGTTAAGAGCTTGGCGGATAAATGGCTTTCCTTTTTTTATAAATGTAATAAAATAATTGTTGTTCATCATTCTTTTACCTATATGTTATTTTTTTAAAGTGTTTTGTTGATATCAATGATTTCTGACTAAGTCGGGTTTCTCATTTTCTTACATTTTTTAAAAGTGTATTGTATATTACCATCTTCTCACGATAATTATCATATGTAAACTGGTGGTAAACCAGATTCGATATAGAGTTAATAAAAGATTGTTTACCACAAAAGGGGTAAATACCTTAATAAAATATACTTGATCATTATTTTTTTCTATTTTGATTTAACGTTTGGATTTATTTAATTCGACGAAATTATTTCATTATGTTTAAGATTTATGAATAATAATAAAATAATTTTGATGTGTTAGATTAAAAATAAAAGATTCTTGAACAACTATACCGTATTAATTATTTCGGATTCAGCCATTTAATCTCATGGTTCCCAGAGCCTCGGGTGGTTCCGAGGTGCGATAATAACCTGCAACCACCTTGTTCCTTGTTTTTGTATGTCGTGAATGGTATCTAACAAAGCCACGGATGCCCCGTGATGTGACCCTAGCCACGCCTTGATAAAACTCTAAATTTTTCTTAATTTTCTCATTTTATTTCTGTGAATGATGAATAAAGAAATTTAAAGTCAGGATTGCTCTTGTGATGAGAGCCTGCGCTTTGCTAAAAACCACCGATTCCCATAGACCCCCCCACCATTATTTTAGATTCTTAGATATGGTTAAATCGGTATTAAAACCGGGTCTCCAAGTCCTACACCCCATCGAAAATCTCGATGCATGGATCGTGATCAAAACCATCCCCACCTCATCGTTCAATCACCCCCTAATTTGACCCTAAACATTTCAATAATGACTTAAACAGATAACTCCTAATCCTGTCCTTCCATAGTCGGACGGGCATTATAGGACTTAATTTATTTAAATCAGTCGGATTTCGGATAAAAAATAGTTCATTACAGAGCTCTAAAAAATAAATAAAATTGTATCATAAAAATATTATAAATTATTGTAGTTTTTATTATATTACAAAAACTGCCTAGTAGAATAGCAGGAAATATAAAATATTATATAATAAAAAATGTTAAAAGTCTAACCTCATTAGATATGGATCCCCCTTCGTCATAAGATCCTAACAAGTTTTCGCAAATACTAAGGCATCCGAATACAATGGTAGGTATGGAATATTTTATTTTGGATGCCGGAAGGTGTTCAAAGTAAGAGTATACTGTTTTGAGCAACTTTGTTTTGATCGCAAGTTGAAAATCGAGCAATAAAGATAAAGACATAATTATTACATAAAAAATTACTTAGTAGAGTTTTTTAAAAAAACTGGGAGTTAAGGTGCCGACCATTAAAAATGAATGTATATAAATAAAAAGTCAACCTTTGAATCTATTTTATGCAATTTTGTACATCCCCCTCCTCCTAAAGTAATATTATTTTAATGATTACCAAAAAATGCATATCCAAGTTGCCAGGTGATTTAACCAAATTTATAAGCTTGGCCAACTCTATCTGGGCGTCAACTTCGTCACTTTCATCGACATCTGCACGGGAGATTTGAGATTCTTCACGGTGTTGCTCTTTACCTGAAATTTCGTTTGACAATATTGGCTTAAGAAGGTTCATTACGTCGTTCACCTTAAAAGTGTTATAAAAAAATTTGTAAAAAAATATTTTCTGATGATCATTCTACTTTAATTAAATCTCTCGAAAATGAAAGAGTTGTTTAGCAATGAGGAAATAAAAGAAGGCTCAACACACGTAAATGATAAGAACTCGTTTACTTTATAATATAATAATTGTTAAGTAATTTGAAAGGCAAAATATAGGTGGAAAAGGGTTAAAATATTATATATTAGGGCTGCTCCAATATTTTTTGCCGATAATAAAATGATATGTAGTATATCCCAGAATTGGCATAAGATTGGTGGCTAACTTTTTATGCATAAATATATTGGATTATCGATATAGCATCATAACTTGTTATAAAACAAAATTATTTTAAGGAGGTGTTAAAATCGGAAGTTTTAAAATTTGTTCAAAATCAGATCGGCATAAACAGAGCTAAAATAATAGGCTGATTTTATTTGATGCTACTAACTCCTCCCTAGAATACTTGTTTGAAGGCATATTTTTAAGTGATATTAACATTAAATGCATTAAAAAATTTCTGTTAATCTTGTGCCAATTTCGAAATATACAGACTTATACAGGCCATTTTAATATCGGCAAAAATATCGATGCAGCCGTATTTTGTATATTTTCATATATTCATAAATAACAATCATTTTATTCCCAACAATGTCAACGACATAAATATTAGGAAAAGCGGGAGAAAAATCGTTACAACAAAAATATAATAACTTGTGGCAAAGAAAAAGGTTAAATTTGCTATTTGATTTTGCAAAAAAAATAAAGAGAACTTATTCGATAAATATTTAGTTCAAATCTATAAATTATATATCAATTTGTAGCCCTTAAAATTCTCTTTAAGAAAATATAAAAATTTTTTAAAAATATTTTCAATGTTGATGTATTTTAGATAAAACAATAATGAATATTTTTGAGCTAGTCTGAGACTGGCACCATAAAACTCAGCTGATAATTTTATTATTAATATATCTAAATATTTAAGTAAAAATTAGGGATAAAGGAATAGCTAAAAACATACAAAATATTTCTAGTTAAAATCTAGAGTGAAAAATTTCCAGGAATCTTTAACATATCAGTTTGAAGAAAGTGGTGAAAATAATGAATACCATTCTTCTTATAAAAAAAAAACAAAAAAATGCAAGTTTTATTTTTAGTTTTGTCTTTTAATGCGATTTTTTATTTCAACTATTCAAATAATAACCGTTTTTGTATTTGTTTTGAGAATTTTTGATTTTGATTTTTTAAAAAAGTTGCCTTTCCTTAGTTAATAAACTAGTGAATTAATACTAAGCAAATAATTGCCATCGAGTAGTTACATTTTCCTCCCCAAACTTTCTATCAATATATATTATGGCTTTGTCTGAGTTGAATATTATTAAAAATAATAAAATGAACGAAAAACAATATAGTAGATGATGTATTAAAAGAAGACGCTTGTAAATGATTTACGAACCATTTTAGCATCCGTTATGAGTGATCCTTTTTCCAACAATTTCCCAACAAGATAACCACACACGTCAAGGGTTGAGGCGCGGTCGAAAAACCAAAACAACGGGGCTAAATGATTAAGTCTGGCGATTTTAAGTAAATCTCCATCGTGCATATACCCGTCAACTATAGACTTGACCATTTTGGAGAGTTCTTTGCAAATTATAGAGGCGTGGTGTATTCTGATAAGTGAAAAAATAAATCGATATCAATTATATATATATATAATAAAATGGTACAAAAACATTATACTGTTATAATTAAAATATACTCCGATTTCTTTTTTTTTCTTATCTAAAGTAACAAATTTTAAAATTTTGGGCAAAATGAGATAAAAAATAGGGAATCTATAAATTAAATGACTCGATTTGAGAAAAAACGGCTAGTCTCAAAATTTCGTTAAGTGCCATCTATGAGTAATCTTCAGGCTTGCGTAATATATTTCTGGATAAGATAATGAGTTAGTCGTTTTTAAAAATCGGGTCAAATCGAGTAGTTTAACAAAACTAGTAGATACTATAATAGATACTTTTTAACAACCCCGAAGATTTCATTGTATTTTTAAAAATTAACTAAAATAATAGTGTGTATTAATTTATGGATTTAGAATTATAAACTATGAAAACGTGATGGATAAATTTTTTTTTTCTTAATCAGAATAATCCATTTTTCCTTTGTATTTAAATTCATACTTCAAAATGTTCATCTTCTTAAATATCTTTGTCATAGTATCGAGACATCTGTCCACGTATTCCATGTTTTGAGGGTAGCATGTTAAAGCGAGGTTGATTAAACAACTCTGTAAGCATACAATGTCCTCGGATGATATTACGTTCGATCTAGCCTACAAATATTTAATGTTTTTTATATTAGGGATAATCACTAATTGCTTTAATATCCCATTCACTTTTTTTAAATATCGGTCGATGGGTATTTTTAGATTAATTGATAATTTCTATATAGCAAAATGATGGATAAAAAATTATTATGATAAAATGCTAATATTGGATAAAAGAAAATGTTGAGAAAAAAAACATGGCAATTTTTGTTTAATTAATAATACATTTAAATTAATTTATATAATAAAATAGATTAATAATATAAATACTATTATATTAGATAAGTCGATATCGGTTATCTATCAGAGAGGTGACTTATCAAAATGTCTATGGGGACTTGAATATTAATTGTAAAGAAATAAGAAAAAAAAGTTGTAATTTTTAATTTTATATAGAAAATCTTATTCTTCATTTCCCTTAAAGTTTTTTATAATTAGATCAAGCTCTCAAGTAGCTAAAAAATATTATACAAGCCTGGATATCTCGCTTATAGCAGAAAGGTTTGAACATCTATAAGCGAAATCTCGAGGCTTGAATATTTTTGGCTAAAATATTGGGTTAGCCATTTTTAAAAATCGAACAGTTAAGCAATACTAGTATAATAAGTTTTAATATTTTTTAAGAACTATGTTTTCCTATTCTTCTTCTTTATAAACATTTAAAATTGTGATATGATTTAGTCGTCACTCTTATTTAAGAGGTGCTAGTCATGAAAACGATCGTTCTACAGAACACTCACTTCTAGATTTGTTAATAGCATTTTGATAAATTTTACATACTCTGAAAAAACAGAAATAATTTCTTTCTTACTTTGTACCTTTAATATGGTTATGATGTCCTCTAAAGAATAGTAAGATCTAAAACTTCATAATAAATTTGTCTATAATTCATTAATTGATTCGAAATTATAGTATGAAATTAAAGCCTACTTCGAATCTTAAAGGCATTTTTTCTTTAAAATGGAGTCCTCTACATTTAATTCCTTGACTTTAAATTAACTTCTCTCCAGACTTATCGAAATTATCATACTTGTCGTATTGCTTCTAGAGTTTTGATTAGGATTTGATTTTGAAAATATAATGAAGAACTTTGGATTTCAGCATTTACAACTTCTACTCTCTCAAATATTGTTATGATCATTTTAAGAAATAAAGTTTTCAATAAGCTTTATTTGGTTTAATAAATTTTTTATTCTTTTCAGTAAATTTCAAAATTTGCTTCCGATACTTCATAAATTTTATTTTTACTTAAATCCTTTTTTTTACAAAACGAAAACATATTGAATGCGACTCTTTTATGGATTTATCCATGGTTTCATCTGTTATTATCTAGTAGAATGTAGCAGATTTTATAGGTTTTACATTTGCAACTCGTAAAACATATTGGTGAGAATTCTATTAGTTATATAACGTAATATCTAATAATAAATCATCTATTTTTTATGGGGGCCCAGGAAAAAAAGAAGGGAAAGAGCAGAGCAATATAGAAATAATATAATTAAATATATTTTTTCTTTGTCTCATTATTAGATGAGATATAATAATTCATATAGTTTAATTTATTTATTTTTTAATAAAAGTATTTTTAATTTTAAAAACATCGTTAAAAAAATGCCTTTTTTTTAAGTAACAAAAAATGAACGTTACACAAACAAATATAACGGTTATAGGGGTTTTCATAGAGCCCAGCAAATTGATTAATTTTTTAAGACCCTCGGCTACACCGGTGTAAAATTGTGAAATCAATCCTCATTGTAGCTTCCATACCATAGTGATATTTTTCTACCATAATGATTTTTAAGAGATGTTTTCATCGCTTTAAATATATTGGTGGCCATTAAATTTATTCATTATTTATTTATTCATCACTTCAAATAAATTGGCGGCCATTTCCTATTAGTAAAAAAAATATATATAATAGATTTAACAGCCTTAAATATATTTGAATGATTATAAAAATGATTTTTTAACAATTCTGATATCCTATATAATTTTTATTTGGTAACTCATTATTTGTAATAATTTTCTTCCTGAGGTTAAAATTATACTGCGTATTCAACCCCATCCTCAGAAAATTTTAAATAAATACAATGTATAAAAGTTTTCTTTCATTTACCATCGTATTATTAGGATTTCAAGTATTAAAATTATTATAGGACAAAAGCTTAAACTAATCACAGAGACATATGCTATCATTCTGATTCTGTTTCAAACATTTCCTGTTGGCTTATTTTAAAGTTGTCATTTTATTTTTTAGATGCATATATCATATTTTCAACTGTATAAGATGATTCAAACTTATTACTTATATTTATGACATATAAATTTTTTTTATATAGAAATTAATAAAATATCGAATAAATATTAAAATCAAAACTTAATGTTTTAAATTATTCTTTATTTATTTTATTGCAATATTATTAAAACTGGTTTAAACATAACTTTATTTCAACAACAAGAAAATATAATAAAAAGAAAATATAAAAAAAAGGAAAAATAACATAAAAAATTTGGTATAACCCATTTACTCCTGGCGTATCACCTATTATACTTTAATAATTTATAAATATTTAAAATGAAATAAGTATTTTATATTATAAATAACCATTAATATATCTATAAAATCATTATATACACTAGAAATTTTTAAAAATACGTTTTTTATACTCAAATAAAAAGAAAATATAATATAATTTTAATTAGCGCCCTCTATAATTAATATATTTATTCCTAAATTAATAAAACATAAATAAAATTTAAATTCTTATTTTCTCCGTTAATATTTTTACTTAAATATTTAAATTCTTATTTTCTCCGTTAATATTTTTCCTTAAATATTTAAATATATTGGCAATAAACATATTTGATAAGTTTCATTGTTTCGAATTTTTTACTAAAATTATAAAAAATAAAATAAATTTAAATTTTTATTTTCTTCCATTAATAATTATATTTTTTACTTAAATATGTAAATATATTGGCAATAAACATATTTCATTATTTTCATCATTTTAAATGGGCAATTTTTCAAAATATTTTTTGTTTTATCTGAAATACAATGACACTGATATTTTAAAAATAATTATTTCATTTTCTTAAAGAAAATTTTAAGGGCTACAAAATGATGTATAATTTGTTACTTTGGACCAAAAAATTTTGACTATTTTAATATTCCTTAAAAGAGGAAAAGGTTCTCATCGAACTTCGAAGGCCCATAACTCGGGATATATTAGAGCGGATTTGTATAAAATATACAATTCATTTGACCTTCATACCAAGTTTCATCCTTTTTTAAAATGGACGTCCGAATCACTGATCGATTTGTCATGGAATTACCCTTATTCTTTATTTTCTATAAAGAATATCTTCTATAATCACAAAATGGTTTGCTTTACATTTGACTATTTCAAATAGTAAAGAATATTTTCTATTACTAGCTTGGTTGATAGTCATCTGTTATTGCTTGTTATCAATTCATAATCATGAATTTAAATGTAACAATTTGATTCATTAAGAAAATTTTTGTCGATTCAAATACCGTAGTGATTTAAGATGATACTGTGTTTACAATAAATACTACAGTTGCCCGATTATTTTACAAAATGGGTAGAGGCAGAACCTATGAAATTAGCATCTGGCACGTTTTTCCAAACCCAATCTTTATTTATTGTAAACATGGAAATAATATGAAATATATTATACACTCACCAATGTCAAAAATAGATTTTATAAAAGATTTTAATTTAAATATTATTTAATAAATGCACCTTCAAAGCATTTTAATAAAATTATAATATAATGATATACTAATTTTTTGAGATAATTATGTTTTCTTCTTGTGTTTTTTGAAATTAAGCTATGTTTATTCTTTTTATTTATAAAGTATTAAGAAATCAGTTGTTTTAATAATATTGCAATAAAATAAATAAGAATAATTTAAAATATTAAGGTTTATTTTGATATTTATTCGATATTTTATTAATTCCTATATAAATAATTTTGTGATAAATAGAAGTATTAAATTTTTATCAGCTAAAAATATGGTTAAAAATATAATGATATCTACATCTAAAAAATTGATAATTTTAAGATAAGCCAATAGGAAATGATTGAAACATAATCAGAGTGAGAGATATTAATTGAGATCTTTGACGTAATAGAAACCCTCATTTGTCTCTGTAATTAGTTTAAGCTTTTGTCCTATAAAAATTTTAAGGCTTGAGATCCTAATAATACGATGGTAAATAAATATATTGTATTTATTTAAAATTTTCTGAAGATGGAGTTAAATAAGCAATATAATTTTATAACCTCAGGAAGAAAATTCTTACAAATAATGAGTTTTGAAATAAAAATTATATAGGATATCAGAATTATAAAATAAATAAATTTCCAGAAAAAATTGTATAAAAGATTAAAAAAATCATTTTTATAATCATTTAAATATATTTAAAGCTATTAAATCTATGAATATTTTTTTTACTAATAGAAAATGGCCAAAATATATTTGAAGTGATGAAAAAATATATTATGAATATTTTATAAATTTAATGGACGCCAATATATTTAAAGCGATGAAAACACCTCTTAAAAAAGTATTGATTCTACAATAGAAAATACTATTATTGATTCCAAGAATCCTACAAGGGACTTATTTTTTAAATTTTTAAGCACTAGTTTCCATTTTAAGCCTGAGCCTGGCCCGGAATTTTTTAATTAAAAAAATATAAATTAGACACATTTTTAAAATCACTAATTGTTTTGTCCTTATCCACAGATAAATTTAAATTATCATTTTATTAACAAGAGAAAAAAATAATCTTCCACATTATTTTTTAGAATTTTTTAATATATTTTTAAAGCCCCGGACCGAATGGCAGGACCTTTGATTCTTCGTTACATTCATAACGGGAAAATTGCGCGAGTTACATTATGTACAGGGTTATGCATTTGACCGGTCAAATTCAAATAATTGTTTTTTAAAACAATATTAACCTTTATTTTATATATAATAATAAAAATTGAATTTATGTAATATTAAAATTTTTTTTTTTTAACCTATAATTAACATTTTGCTCTCCAAGGCAGAATTTGTTCTGATTTATATTCATCATTATCATTTACTTTAATATTTTTAATCAATCTTAGGTTATGATATACTCTTACCAACTTTATAGTTGTCGAGATCTTCAATCGATTTCTATTCTTCGTATGAATATTATCACAAGCTGACAAATTTCTTTCTGAAAAAGAAGTATGACTAATTATTAGTAAGATATTTGACATTTCTCTTAAAGTTCAAGGTGGGCAAAGCTCATTCCAATAACTTCCCAAATCTGATTTTTTAATAAAAGTTACTGCTTTCCACATATTTTAATTATTAAATGCCGTATTTACTTCTGAAATTTATTATATCACTTAAAATATTTTAATTATCATCACCTTGTAAAATGCCTAATTCTTATATTATATTACATGCTTCATTATACTCACTACTAGTAAGATGTTTCCCTTTTATTGGGAATCCATTAAATAATCAGCGGTGTGAGCATATGTATTTGGAATGTTTTTTCTTTTTCAAACGTATTTTTAATTTTTTTCTTCAGGTGGAGAAATTATAAAATCATGGCATGATTGAATAATGTGTTTTCCAAATTAAGCATCTAGTTTTTTAAGTGGGATAAAGTACATTTATCCGTTTGCACTTACAACAATAAGATAGCTAAATGTTAAAGAATATTTTAAAACTTTAAATTTTTCGCCCAAAATATTTCTTCATTTAATATATTAATGGTAATTAATTTCGAATATATATCCAACTTCTCCAACAGCTGCTTGCAGAGTTTTCTTGCATAGTATTTGCTCTTAGGATAATTACATAATGTAATATAAATTAGCATATTAATTTTCTTAAACCATGTTATAACAAAATTATTATATTTAATTATATATTGACATCCAATCAAATTAATAACGGGAAAAATATTTGTTGGCAAAATATATGACTTTCTAAAAAATCAATTTTTTTATTTAAATCGCGATTTAAACCAAATACTATTATTTAAATTACAGAAACATATTTAGATTTAAAAATATGATCCTCATATTTTTTTTACCTTAGTATAATATTTCTTTGTAAATAAAAAGTTAATGCTTCAGGAGATCTGGTTAGGAAATTATTTAAAAAATATATTGATGTCATGAGCTAATTTGATATTTTGTCAAATAAAAAGCCGACTGTCAATCAAAAATTCATAGATATGTGCAGATATCGTTTAGGAAAACTATTTTTCTTTTAATATCAATATCGAGTACATTTAAATTTTGGGAAATAATTTCAAAAATAGAATTTTATTAAAAAATCGGGGTGATTTAAATCGCGTTTAAATTAAATTGATCTTTGCCAACCCTATATAATATAAAATTATAAATAAATCGATGTATAGATGATACAGATATATTTTTAAATAAATTATAACCTAATTAGATTGATAAACATAAACATACTTTAAATACATATTAGTTAATAAAATAAATATATTTATTCACCGATAATATTTTAGAGTATTTAATCAGGTTAAATTCTCCTTCGGTCAATTGGCCAACTTGCCAACCCTGGTTATGTAGAATAACATTATTTGTAAATTCTTGCTCAGCCCTATAATCAAGTCTACTTAAGGTGATGATCTCCCAAAAGTATTTACATTTTCGTGAATATAGATGCAAATATATTATAACATCTTGATGTGCATTTTCGCGGGGGGGGGGGGGAGATAACAAGGTGGTAAAATTTGGGGATATTTCTTAGAGCTCTAAAATATTATAATATACTTTAGTCTTAAAAAAATTGATTTAAAAACTTGTATAATTTGAGAAATTTGCTCGGAAAAAACGTCAAATAATTTAATATCTTCATCAATGACCAAGGAGGAAGGACCTTCTTTTTGAGCATACCTAGCCAATCTAGATAATATTTATGACATATTTTTTTTAAATTAAAAAACATTATTATCTTTATGTTATTTAATAAAATTTAAAAATATATATAATATCTCAGAGACATAAATTATCAATATTTTATTGTGTGGTTTATAACATTATTATCTTTATGTTATTTAATAAAATTTAAAAATATATATAATATCTCAGAGACATAAATTATCAATATTTTATTGTGTGGTTTATAACATAATATATTTATATTTTGATCTTAACACTTTGGAGCACATTTTTACCCGTTATAAAAATTCTAAATAAAAACTACGATAGAAATATAAATTATATAAAATTCATCTTTTCCTATTTTTTCTGTAAAGCGTAATGGTATAATTTAATTATTAAAAAAGAGTAAAACTTAAAAAAAACAAAAAAAACATCATAATATATATGTATTTTTAATAAAATTAAGGATATAACAACGGGGGGGGGGGGGGGAAGTCAAGAAAAGAAGGTGATCATTTTAAAATGTTTAAATTTAGTCTTAAATAAAAAAAATAGATTGTATTTAGAAAATTCGGTGTATAAATTGTATTATATCAATATAACGAGATGGTAGCGTGCGTTTTTTTATTTACCTATTTATCAAGCAAATCATGATATTTTTGACCTTGACGTCTGGGTGTAATTGAGAGCACGCCTTCAAAAAGCTGTTTAGAGTGGCTAAGTGGAATTCGTCGGGGAATACCTTTGATTATTGGGATTCATAATAAAATAAAATTACAACAAATGTTATAAGATTATTATAAAGTATTGATGTTAGATTTTTTTAGTAGTTTAATCATTTTTGACCAATATACATTAAGGTAAAATTTGTCTTAGTCAGATAAGTACTTTTTAAGATATTAATAAAATACATTCCGGAGGTTCTAGAATCATCAGGGGTCTAATTAGAATTAATTGTTATTCAATATTCGCTTCGATTCTTATTACAATTATTGAAAATTCGAATCGAATATGAATAATGAGAAAAAGTATTTGTCGCATCTCATTATTAAATTCGAAACTATCAAAGTAATGGATCTAGATATAAATACATCGCTTAAAATATCTCTAGATACAGATACATCGTCAAAAACCTACGTAGATACAGATATACTTTTAAAAATGTATCTAGATATAGATACTAATTTTATCATATTTATATACAGGGTTCGTAGTTGTTCTCAAACAAAAATCTTAAATTCAAACACTATATAAAAAAATGTCTATACCCATATTTTTATCGTTCTCTCAGTTATAGCAAGCATTTATCATAAAAAAAAATTATTACATTAAACTTATAATTTTTTAATTAAAAGTTATCGGAATATCTTTAAACTAAAAAATTCTAAATAAATTTTTTTGGCTTAAAATAATTTTGTGCATCAATGGTATTGTTTTTAATAATTAAAGGGCGTCATGGCTAAGCAAGGATTTATATATTCCTTCACATGATAAAAACAACCTTCATAATATTGAACTGATATCTATAGATTTAAATGGGAAAAAAAATAAAATTTAATGAATAATTAAATTTTTTTTATATGTCAATTTTCATATTTTATATATAATTTTTTATATTTTTTTTATATTATTCTTAATATTTTTTAATATATATTTATTTAAATAATATGCTCATATGAAATAAAATGTATTTTGCATTCAAATATTTTTATTCTTAAGATAAAAAAGCGTTAATTACAGTATATCAAAATGTATCTTAAATAGTATCTAAAAACAGATATAGAAACCCTAAAAGAGTATCTAAATATAGATACTGGTTATAAAAGTGTATCTAGAAACAGATATAACATTTTTATATCTAGAAACTTTTACAACTCAAATTATTGGTATTATTCGTATTTTTCGAAATTATTTGTATTATTCAAAAATTTTAAATTGAACTCTTTGAACAATTACCTACCTCATATAACATAAATAAAACAATTTTATTAGAAAAATTTAAGGAAATATATAATGAATACAAAATTAAACATAATATTAATATATCATCTGATAAAACAATAGTACAGTCAAACATGGATGAAATATTCAAACATAATATCATCTCATCAATATGTGAGGTTGAAACATATCTTAATGAATTTAGAATTGCTTCTAGTAAGAAACTATTAGAATGGGAGATTGCATCGGGATCATTTTCCCGTGTTGTCAAAAATGGCAGTTGATATATTGTCCATTCAGGGATCTTTGCCTTCATGTGAGCGGTTGAGAATATTAGATGGAAGAAATAACATATAGAAAATAATATAGATATTTTTATAAGCAATTCTAATTCTAAAAATTGGGTGTTTTTGTCCAATTATTCGGATAACTTTATGAAATCATTGGGTTTTATTTCGTTTGTTATTTTCTGTAAATTTTGATATGCTAATATGACAATTAGTTTTAGTAGAATCCTTAAAAGTGTCATTTTAAAACATCGACATCTGTTTATAATTGTCTTGCAAAATATAATCTATTTTTTATAAGCTTTAGAAAAATTTCCGAATCGAATATTGATTTTATTATTTGATTCGTTTTTCGGAGGCCTAGGTCTAATAAAGCATTCCGAAATTCTTGGAAAGTTTTGTATATGATCATCAAAAATAAAAGAAAATGAACATGTTTAATTTTGAACGAAGTGGAACGGGTTTGTGTATGTAAAGACGCACGTTTAATTCTAAAGGAACTGTAATTCGCCAGAATAAGAAAAAATATCCTTTTTTAGGAGAAAAATAATAGAGAACACAGATATCTAATTCTTTTTATAGCCAAAGATAGAAATGAAAAATAGTATTTTAAGGTTATTTTCAGAAGGTGGGAAAATAGCTTTAAAAAATATTGTCCATAATAATTCAAAGTTCAAATAGATTATCTGATCGAGAATTTATTCTTAAGCATCCTCATTTCTGTTGTTTCTTCGAATGCCATACTTGAATATATGTTCAGATGGACGAATAAAAAAAGGGAAAAAAATTATGACAAATAGTAGAAAATAAATGACAGTGATTAAACTTTTTCACTGGGACACTAATAGTACTAGGTATTATACGTGACTCTAGAATCTAAAAATATACATTTAAAAAGGGGTGAATGTTCACAAAAGACGGAAAAATATGTATAAATGAATCAAGTATTTGTGCATATTATTTTTTTTCACTATTTTAAATAAGAAATAAAAAGTAAAAGGTCTATTATTTTATATAGTCTCCATCCTGTTGATAAGCAACAATGTTATATTTTTATATCTGGTAAATTAAGGGTTAATAATAAAGAAAAAGGAAATAAAATACTTGTATAATGCATTCCATGATATATTCTTGAGCTATAACGTCCCTGCAGCTCACTATTTGTTCTAAGATACCAGGTAATATAATCTTTTTTGGATATATTATACAATATAAGAATATATTTTAGTTTCGAATAAAGGGCATTCCAAAAAACTAATTGATGTAAATGTCAGGAACATGCAATCTGTGGAAAATTGTAAAACGAGAACGGTGATTTGGGAACTTTTTCAGAATGTTCCAAAAAATAAATATGAAACTAAATTATTTATCACATGATAATATTAAACTTTAAATTTCAGTTTACTTAATTAATAATACTATTATGGAAGCCAGCTAGGATTTTTCCAAAATTCATATTATCCATTATGATTCAGTATATAATTAATAAAATATAAAGTTTTCAATTCTCGACTTTTTTGCCAAGTGACCTGCTGAAAAAGTTTTTCGACACTTATACGAATACAATTAACCAAATACAAATGATAAATCTTTTCTAGAATATATTAATGTTCAGATGCATAATTAATGAATGTTTAATAATGATTAATGGATAAAATGAGTTGATTAGCAAAATGGAAATTAATAGATATTTTTATTTTTTTAGGAATATTTTTCCAAAACTGGAATGAGACATAACCAAAACAAAGCAGGACGAAAAATATACTTGCCCTTCACCAGGGACTTGCTTCTACCATGGGAAAAATGTGGGAGGGGGACTGAGATAAGATAGTCACCGAAATTGAAGGGATGTAGGAAGTTGTGAAGATACTGCTACCAATCGAATAAAATTAAAGGGTGAAATCGTTAATGGATTAGAGGGGTGTTAGTTCCCACCAAGTTAAGATTTAAACAACATCAATTAGAAAGTCACTTGAAACAAATAGCTTCAAAATCTTGCTTAAAAAAATTTCTTTCATTCTATAACTACAAGGTGGGCATCTTGATAAATAAATATTTTATTGTGAAATTCAACTAGATAGTAATTTCTCAATAAATTTGAGCAGTCTTGAACATCCAGTGGCTAACTAGCTTAAGATGCTTTTTTCAGTTCAGCATTAAATTTAAAAAAACACATCTAAATTTAATAACTAATCACCTGGCCCACTACCTTAGAAGTACTATATATATATATAGTCTATTGTAAATTTTAAATATTATTTTGTTAAAAAGAAAAATGAAATAATTGATATTGAAAAACTTAATGGGATTTTTAAAAAAAAATATGAAAAAAATTAAAATTCTTAACTTTTTTGTATTCGTCGATCTGAACATTATCAAGTTCGCTGAGTCGCACTAAATTGGTACCGACTAACAACCTTTGATTGTTTATTTTTTTGTAAATAAACAATATAAATTTTTGTTTTGTTGTTCAAACTCAAAAAAAAGTTCATGTATTTTTTTTATCTATCCAGTCAAATCAAAATTCTATACAAATAAAATTTCCTAAGTCTTGAGAATTAATCAGTAAAGTCAATGGAAAGACACAGGGGCTCGAGCCTCCTGAAAAATTTGAAGCCCTCTCCTTCTAAAAATTTTATAAATAAAGGCCATTTTGAAAATTTAGCATTAAAAAAAATTGTTAAACAAAATAATCTTGAACCCCTCTTGAGATTGTAAAGGCTAGTGATGCCACTGGATTTAACAAAAAGATAATAAAAAGATTTGATTTTGGCTAAATCTCGAAGCTTTGGTATTTTTTTTCGCTAAAACTTTTAGCCGTCTTCTAAAAATTAGCTAAGTATACGTTTTTAACACCACTAGATGAAACTTAATTAAAAATTATGCAACAATATAAAAATTGCTATATATAAATATTTTCTTTTGCATTTGAACACCGGTATTGTACACAATGTCAAAAAATATAGGAAAGTGGTTAAACCATATATTTTCCTGCTCTTTGAACAAGAAAAATTAAATCGTTTTTTAAGGCTATGCCCAAAATCTTTTTTTTTAATTCAAAAGTTTTAAAACTTTGGCAAATTTTAAAATTTTAATGAAATTGTGTGTTAGATTTTTGAAATTTTTAAATATATGAATAAAACCTATTTCATTTAATAGATATTTAGAATCACGAGGTCACTTCTTATATTCTGTATATCATACTCTGCAGCACAGAACTTAGATTTATAGGGAGTGACTCCTTTGATCGTATTGTCTATTTTCGTCAACATCAGTCAAAATGGGCAACATCATTATTAAATATGAATTTTATGCCGGTTTATTTTATATACAGTCTATAACAAAAATAAAATGTTATAAAATTTTTAAAAAAAGTTATATTTAAAATCATTTTTTTTATATATAAAATCGAAATGCATTTTTATATATATATTTTAATAATATTAATTAATTTAATTTATAAACATTCTGCTATTTTGTTATTTTTTTGCGCATTCTGTTTATAAAAGTGTGGGATAATCTCTTCAGAATATGTTTTTAGTGAAGCTGGTGATATTGACAGTTACCATCGCCGCAGACTGACCTCTGATAAATTGGAAATTTTGGTATTTTTAAAAAGAAATCTTCGATATAATATGTCAGAGACCTGCAGGCCCGTCCCTAAGCCGGGCCCGGTTTAAAATATACCCGGGCTAGGCCTGATTTTTTTTTTAAACTCGGGCAGGGCCAGTTCTGAAAAATTTTTTTAAAAAAAATACGGCCCGGCCCAGGTATTTTTTTAAAAAATTTATACAACGTGAATTATTATATTCGTCAATTAGATATGGTTATAATGATTATATATAGTTATGATTAATATAATGTTTGGTGAAAGCTAACACTAGCTAACACTCATAATATCTATTACATAATAAAATTATAGTTTTCCTGCCATGAAATAAATACACAAAGGATTAAATACATTATTATAATAATATATGTTATATTTTTTCTTATTTAAAATAGTTTTTTTATAAATACATAGTATACTCTCAAAATATTATTTACAGAAATTTTTTATAGTATCAATTTGTAATATAGTAAATATCTGTTTAGAATTTTTAAAAAAAAGTGTTGTTAAACCTTGACTCAGTTTTTTATCCAGAAAATATTATACAAGCCTGAAAATTTTGCTCATAGAAGGAGCAAAGGTCTAGAGATATAGTATCGAAATTTCGATTTTTAAAAAATCGGCTAGCCGTTTAACAACATTAGCTAATATACTTGCTTATTAAATGATAATACTCACCAAAAAATATGATAAAATACGAAATAATGAATTTTTTGTATATACCAGGTCGAATATAATTTTAAAAAATTCCAAGCCGGGCCTAAAAAAATTTTTTTTTAATATCCGGGCCAGGCCGTAAAAAATTTTGAAAAAAAAATCCGGGCTGGACCGAAATTTTTTTAATCTGGGCCGGGCCGTACAAATGGTACCTCTGCAAGTCTCTGATTAATGTTAAATATTATTTTAAATATTTATTTGAAATTTCATAATATATTTGTTTATTACTTATTATGTATAAAGATTAATGTTATATAAAAGTGATTTAACAATAAAAATATTTTATATACATTTAGAATTAAAATTAAATTGAATATAAAATATCATTGATCATTATAATACATTTAAATGACACAAGTTATAGTATAGTTAAATTATAGATGTTATACTAATAAAAAGTATATTAAAAATTAAAACCATTGGTATCTTTACAGATTACAAAATTAGATATGATATCGGATCAGTAATCGGCCGACATCAATTTAATATCGGGAATATCTGATCGGCCTCCAAAAAGTGGTATCGATACACCACTTATATTTGATAATTCCAAGTAATTTATTAGCTATTAAAATATAATCTTTGTTTACAGCCATTAAATGGACCAATCAGAAAAGTAGACGAATTTACGATCAAATGACTTTACAATAGGCATATCGCTTTACGTGGTAGATGATATCACTACTCGAAAAAAATAAAGAATTTTATATAAGGATAAAAGCTATTAATATTTAAACAAAAATATATATATAATCAATAACGCTACTCTCGACCCAACTAGTATTTAAGGACACTATGTGACTGTCAAGCTATACATATATTGAGCACTGTAGTTACTACTTGGAAATATCATTTAAAATATGTTACTGGAAAATTTACAAAATGATATGCTACCTATGATATATCGGGTCTAGGGGAGCTTCTAATAAATACTCTATTTGTTACAAGTCGATAATTTTTTTAAAAAAATATCTTTTACTTCTGGCTAAAAAAAATAAAAATATGACGTGCAAAAAAATACCGAAGATCCCTTCTTTCCATCTCTCTTTTATCCTTATCCTTGGAATGACCCAAATGTTGCATCCTGACCCATAGCTTGTTCATTTCCCCGAAATTAAGAAGTAAAAATTCGACCGAATCAAGGACAGATGAGGACGACGATGCAGAAAGATGGTGGGATAGCTGGTGGTATCAAAAAAAAGTGTAGGGTGTTTAATAATTAAGGCCTCATAATTTAACTAAAGGTTTTACTTAGCCCTGATAAGGTACATTTATAAATAATTATTTTAAAATTTTAGATTGAATTTATTTTATTATCTTAGCCAATAAAGCATTTTATTACCTTAAATTATTCCTAAATTTTTAAAAAATAAAATAAATATAAAACATGCAATAAATAATAATAATGAAGGGAGTAGATTTAATATTTTTAGAGGCTTTCATGCATTCCAGGTTTGTTTATAAACTTTTCGTTTAATATCACCTATTCATTAAATTAACATTAATTAATTTATCAATACACTAAATATCTTATTACAAATCAATAAAGATATATCTTTATTGATTTGCGCAACATTTTATTTTTTTATTAACATTGCAATAAATTAATGATAATTCTATCATTCTTGATGAAACATAATTGTGTTTTTTCTCTAATTCTCCTATCTCTAAAAATCAAATAACGTTAATTTATAATTATTAAAAACATCAATTTACAAATAAAATAAAAGAAACAAAAAAATATAATCTAAAAATAACTATAAAAATAATATCATTAAAAATTTTAAAAAATCAAAAACATACAAAAAACAATTAATCTATACATAAGATCTTGAATATAATCCATCCTTCTAATTCCCGGACATTTCCTCTCAGTAAATCCTCCAGTTCGTAAATCGAAAGTACTTCCACTCCAGTTGCGACGTCAAAGTAATATCAGACCCGGGTTGTGCAGCCCTGCCATCAAGGAGAAAATTACCGAAGATTGGGTAGAAATTTAGTGTGGACATATTATTGCTAATCGTGTCATCTTAGGGAGCGAAGCCCCAATGGGCCCAGTAGAAGATAGCATAGAAATAATATGGAACAACCCATCCAATCGGCGGCTATTGAAGGAAACTTGATGGATCAGCCTTAACCCACCGTCGCAATTGGCCAAAGTTAAGCGATATCAATTACCCCGCTGCAGACACAGTAGAACCAGGTGCAATGAAACCAGGGGATTAGCCATTGATTGATATCATGGCGGCAGAAGTCCCGGAGTTACTAGGAGATGATGGCAGTCCTTGAATTTGAAGGATCATGTATATAGTTTAATTGTTATGTTATCGTTTTTTAATAATATTATTTTTATAGTTATTTAGATTATATTTTTTTGTTTTTTATTATTATTTGTTTTATTTATAATTAGATATTATTAATAATTATAAATCAACGTTTATTATATTTTTAGAGCATACATAAGAAAAAAAAGAAAAACAAATATTTTTGAGAATTATTGTGTTGTCATAAAATAGATAAAGTGTTGGGTTAAATAATAATAAATAGTGTATTGATAAAAATATCGTTAACCTAATAAATTGGGAATATTAAAATTGCAGTTCTAATCTAACGAAACCCAGTTGAATTCCCATCCATAAACTTAGTCTATGTTCCTGTATCAGGTTGAGTATTAATTTTAAATTGTCATTGGTACTTAACATAACATGAGAACTTTTCATACCTCAAAGAAAAATTGTTTTAAGTGAGATTCGAACCTGTTTCTTATAATAGTTATGGCAAGATGAGACCTTGAAAAAAATATGACCTGTTGATGACTGAACATATTTTTATTGGGCTAATCTAACTTGAAAAGTAGGTTTTAATTTTTAACTTGTCACATATAGATTAAAAATAGTAAGTTATAAGTGATACCCTATTTAGATTATTAGAATTTTGGAAGCTTTTTAGATGATTCTCTTCATCTTCGATATCAATTACTGAGATATTAGTGTTGTCATCCAGACCCCCATCAATTATATTGTTAGGATTTGATTTAGTAATCATTTCTCGGTCTCCGGATCCATTAATGCTATAAAAACATAACAAAACGTGTCAGGTGTATTATATATTGGATCATAAAGTTGTGTAATACCGTAAATATTTTCTAGTTGTTCCCAATCAAAAATATCAATTGAATAATAAATATTTTGGAATATAGTGGAGTGTCAAAATATTTTTTTTAAAAGATTATGCTCCTCAAAGCCTGTTATTTAAAATTTCCGAGTAATTATGTTATTGTTATTAAAAGATCTACAAAGTCCTACCATTCCGTTTTATAAAAATTATAATTAGCCAAGCAAAAATTTAATAGGCCGGGGAAGACTTTTTGTAGCATCTTAACAGGTAGGGCCTTACAAAAAAATTATGGGATAGACTGGACAACTTGTGCAAAATTTCTTATTGGGACCAAGTGGGCCTGGTCAGGCTTTGCAGACCTCTAATTGTGTAATTCAATTTATTTTTGAATAAGCTACATATATTTTAATGAAAGAAAGTTTATAAAAATACTTGATAAGTGCATTCTTAAATTTATTGAAATTTTATATAAAATTTTGGTATGTATTAGGATCCTGAACGAATCTAATTCAAAAAAAACTTGGATTGGTCAGATTTATAGCATAAAAACATCCTTTTGGAGTAAGTCTGATCTGAATTTGATTTTAAAATTTTAATTAGGGCCTGACTCGGACCTGGGTACAACTTATTTATATTATAAATATTATTTTGAAGAACATCAAAACAATATTTCTTAAGCACTTATAATTTTTATCCTTTTCTTGAAATATCGGACTTTTTTAATAGTCCAATAATTTCATTTAATTTTTTTGAATTTATTTCTAAAATAAAAATTTCAGATCAGACTTAAATTTTTTTAAAAAATTCTGAACAAATTAGTTGAACAAATTTTTGCTTAGTCTAAAAATTGGCTAAAATAAATTAGTCAAAAATTTTGCATCGATGCCTAGCATTAATTATTATTTATTTATTTTAGTAAAATAATTTATTTTATTTATATTTAATTTAAATATTTTATTATTATCAACAAATAAACATGATATGATTTAATATTTTTTATTTATATTGTTTTATTTTGAAATGAAAATAAATTTATTTATTTGATTTTTTTTTAATAAAAAAAATAATATGCTGCTATTGTAAAAATGTAATATTCTTTTTAATATAATTTATTAGTGATTTTCACAATCTTCTTTGTTAATACATCTTTTAGGTGAAATCTTTTATAATATTTTTTTTATAAATTTTGTAAAATTATCTATTTTTTTATTAAATGAGGATATTTATATTAAACTTTTTTGATGTTATTTTATATGATCTTTTTAAGGATAATATTTTAATGTGACAATTGTCATAATCGTTATTTTTAAAGTTTTTTGACGAATATATGTTAAAATAAGTATTGATAACATATTTTAATAAAATTTAGTAAAGATGTACCTAAGAAAAGTGACAATTGTCATAATCGCTATTTTTAAAGTTTTCTTTTTTTTGACGAAATAAGATTAAAATAAGTATTGATAACATGTTTAAATAAAAATTTAGTGAAGATGTACCATAGAAAAGTGACAATTGTCATAATGGTTATTTTAAAGTTTTTTTAATTTTTTTGACGAAAATATGTTTAAATAAGTATTGATAACATGTTTAAATTAAATTTAGTGAAAATGTACCGTAGAAAAGTGACAATTGTCATAATCGTTATTTTTAAAGTTTTTTGATGAAAATAAATTAAAATAAGTAATGATAACATGTTTAAATAAAAATTTAGTGAAGATGTACCGTAGAAAAGTGACAATTGTAATAATCGTTATTTTAAAGGTTTTTTGATGAAAATAGATGAAAATAAGTATTGCAGGCGCGTAACCAATGGGGGGAAAATGGGGAAATTCCTTCCCCCCATCGCAAATTTGACTATTTTCATAAATATCATTTTAAGCTAATAAAAATTTTACCCCCACCCCCCAGCCCCCCCTCACCAATCAAAATTTTACAAATATTTGAATATCAATTTTCCAACATATTATTCAAAAATATTAATAAAATGGAAAAATATTTAGTCAAAGAGATTGAAATCAAACGATAATTTATAAATAAGGCTGAGCATGAAAAAAGTAATGTGTCGTTAGCAGCGATATCATTATTGAATTCAATTGATCAATCAGAGTTTATCATTGCTGCTAGTTGCATCAATAAATTATTTTTAGCTCACTACTTTGTAGAAATTTACAAAAACCAAATTTAGATTTGGTTTAAGTTATTGATTTGGCGGAAAATATACATGAACAGGTAGATACAATAAGAATGAATGTAGATAAATATTTTCATAATATTTATCTAGACGTTGAATCTAAGGCTAAATTTTATGATATAATACTAATTAAACCTCGTCTAGCACCTAGGCCATTATTGAGATGAAAATAAATATTGGCTCAACTGAAGAATATTATAAAATATCCATTTTCATCCCATTCTTAGATACTTTTTTATAGCAAATAAAAGTACGGGTTTTAGATAAAAAAGTCTTTAGCAATCTTCAAGTTTTATTACCCAAAGATCCTTCTTCATTTTCTAATGCCACTATTGGTAAAATTAAATATTTAGAAAAATTTTATTCCTATGAGAATGATACTGAAATAAATTTAATCAGTGAATTCGAATTGTGATATAAATATTTATACGTTTAGCTATTTTACCTGAGCATGCTATTGATGCGCTCAATCGGTGTAAAGAAACCTTGGCTCAATTTCCTAATATTTCGAAGTTGTTTTATATTCTTGCATGTTTGCCTATTACAACATGTACGAATGAAAGGACTTTTTCCAACTTGAGAAGGTTGAAAACATATTTACGAAGTACTGAATCTCGGCTAAATGGGTTAGCTCTGTTAAATATACACGGAGATTTGGTTCCAAAGACAAACGAAATAATTAAAAATCTTGTATTTGATAAGAAGTTAAAAAAAACTTGTTAATTTAATTATTTTCTAGTCAATATTTTAAACTACTATTAGTATTTTCAATAAAAAAAATTATATTCTACTTATATTGTATGAGAATTTAAGCTGAGGCTAGTTTTTAAAGCAAATTTTATAAAAAAAATGACATTACACTTTATTTCAACTTTACATATAAATAAACCTTAACATTTAAAAAAAACTTTATTAAATATAATATACCTAACTTGAAATAATAAAAAAGAGGCTTGTAATATCCTATCCATAAGCACGAATTAGTAAATAATAGTTAAAAATAGAAATATAATTATTATTAAATTATTCATAATTTAATAGAATAGCTAAATAAGACCCGGCCAAAGGCCGGGGGAAAGCTGGCCGAAGGCCAGGTAAAAGGGGTTTGGGGGCGAAGCCCCTAAAAAATTTCCCCCCCCCTATAAGAAAATCTTGGATACGCCACTGAAGTATTGATAACATGTTTAAGTAAAGATGTACCATAGAATGTCATAATCGTTATTTTTAAAGTTTTTGGAATATTTTTGTTGTGAAAATCACTAATAAATTATATTAAAAAGAATATTACATTTTTACAATAGCAGCATATTAATTTATTTTCATTTCAAAATATAATAAATAAAAAATATTAAATCATATCATGTTTATTTGTTGATAATAATAAAATATTTACATTAAATATAAATGAAATAAATTATCGCCGGGGTGGCCTAATGGGTAAGATGTAGGCTTGGAAACACGAGCATGAACAAGGACGCGGGTTCAATCCTGGTAAGAACCATAAAAACTTTCAAGTTTTTCTTCGATGACTGATGTGTAAAGACATATGGTATGATGAATTTCGGAGCTTAGAGATGACACCCCGGTCACCGACAGGCCTGGACAGCCGGGTGCTAAGGATACCTGTCCAATAAACAAAATGAAGGACACAAATGAAAATATGAATATGAAAGCTAGGGCGTTCCCTCCATGCGACGCGCAGGGTGTAGACCTCCATCCTGTGAAAAATAAAGTAAAGGTCAAAGCAAAGAAGACAAGACTGGCAAGTTTGAATATTGGGACGCTTAAAGGTAAGACGAGAGAATTGGCATCAATGTTGAACAGGAGAAAAGTTGATATAGCGTGCATACAAGAGACGAAATGGAAAGGACAAAAAACTTTGATGATTGGAGATGGGTATAAATTGTACTATAATGGACTTGTTAGCAATAGGAACGGTGTCGGCATCATCCTCAGCCAAGACCTAACCTCTTCAGTAGTAGAAGTCAACAGGATCTCTGATAGACTAATGAAGATAAAACTCTGCATTGGTCAATCAATACTACACATCCTTTCAGTATATGCTCCTCAAACGGGTTGCAAGGAAGAAGAGAAAGATGACTTTAGAGCTATCCTTGATGAAGCTGTAATGGAAATCCCTAAGGATGACCTAGTCATAATTGGTGGTGACTTAAATGCGCATGTGGGGAAAGCAAGAGATAGCTACAAAAGGCATCATCATGGTGGTTTTGGATACGGAGAAAGAAATGATGAAGGAGAGCATATACTGAAATTTGCGCAAGCCTTCGACCTTGCCTTAACCAACACCTACTATAGGAAAAAAGACAGTCATTTAATAACATATGAAAGTGGTACTAGGAAAACACAGATAGATTACATGCTAATCTCTCGCAGAAGATTAAAAGATGTAATAGACTGCAAAGTCATCCCAGGAGAAGATATCGCCGCGCAACACAAGCTACTAATCATGGATTTACAAATCTCAAATAAATCCACTCAAAATAAGATAAAACTGGAACCATGCATCAAATGGGGCAAATTAAAAACAATGACAGATGCCTTTGCAATCAATGCAAACATTGAAACAATAAATTGCTCACAAGTCAGTGAAAAAATATGGACAGACCTTTCATCCAGATTAATAGACACTGCAAAATCGACGCTAGGCTTGACAAGAGGAGGCAACAAATCACACAAAGAACTATGGTGGTGGAATCAAGAGGTACAAACCACTATACAGGAGAAAAAGGCCCTTTATAAAA